GGAGTCATTCAAGACACTGTACACCGTGTACGTCAGGCCCATATTGGAGACTAGTCTCGGAACTGAGGGGTTTGTCCTACGAGGAGAGGTTAAGGGAAATCAACCTGACAGCACTGGAGAAGAGGAGGGATGAGGAGGGGGGGGGAAGAATTTATAATGACAAAATACTGAGAGGAATTGACAAGGTGGATAGAGACAAGATGTTCCAGAGATGGGACACAGCAACAAGGGATCACAACTGGAAGTTGAAGACACAGTTGAGTCACAGGGATGTTAGGAAGTATTTCTTCAGTCATAGAGTTGTCAGGAAGTGGAACAATCTGGAGAGTGATGTAGTGGAGGTAGGGTCCATACATGCTTTAAAGAGGTATGATAAAGCTCATGGAGCAGAGATAGAGTGGACCTAGTATCGACCAGTGAAGAGGCGAGACCAGGAGCTATGACTCGACCCCTGCAACAATAATTAGGTGAGAGTGAGGTGTTAGGCATAAAATAATCGTTGTAGGTAGTAGTATTAATACTAGTAATATTATTATTATCACTAGTACCACTACTACTACTACTACTACTACTACTACTACTACTACTACTACTACCACCACTACTACCACTACTACTACTACTACTACTACTACTACCACTACTACTACTACTACTACTACCACTACTACTACACTACTACTACTACTACTACTACTACTACTACTACTACTAACTACTACTACTACTACTATTACTACCACTACTCACTACTACTACTACTACTACTACTACTACAGACTACACTACTACACTACTACACTACTACTACTACACTACTACTACTACACTACTACTACTAACTACTACTACTACTACACACACACTACTATACTACAAAAACCACTACACTTACTAATACTAGTAATACTACTATCATCTAGTAACACTACTACTAGTAGTAATACTAGTAGCATACTATTACTAGTAGTAATACTAGTACTTCTAATACCCATACACAACCCCTTTGATAAAGCTCCTGGAGAGCGAAACGTTGCCACAATAAAATGTCACATTAGTTGCACTGTATCCTTTTACTTAACACATTATTGGAAAATTTACCACCATTATTACAATGTTTTATTTGGCTTAACCTCTGTGTCAACCATTATTGCGCACGACTTAAGTGTCATAAAATTTGTCATCCTCAAGCGTGACTGACTGAAAGGTTGACAGGAAAGAAACGTTCACTTGGGTACTTGCTACACACTGTATGCTCCCTGGCATCCTAGCTCTCTTGATCCGGGAGTGTTGTGCTCCCTGGCATCCTAGCTCTCTTGATCCGGGAGTGTTGTTGCTCCCTGGCATCCTAGCTCCCTTGATCCGGAGTGTTATGCTCCCTGGCATCCTAGCTCTCTTGATCCGGGAGTGTTGTGCTCCCTGGCATCCTAGCTCTCTTGATCCGGGAGTGTTATGCTCCCTGGCATCCTAGCTCTCTTGATCCGGGAGTGTTATGCTCCCTGGCATCCTAGCTCTCTTGATCCGGGAGTGTTATGCTCCCTGGCATCCTAGCTCTCTTGATCCGGGAGTGTTATGCTCCCTGGCATCCTAGCTCTCTTGATCCGGGAGTGTTGTGCTCCCTGGCATCCTAGCTCCCTTGATCCGGGAGTGTTGTGCTCCCTGGCATCCTAGCTCCCTTGGATCCGGGATGTTATGCTCCCTGGCATCCTAGCTCTCTTGATCCGGGAGTGTTGTGCTCCCTGGCATCCTAGCTCCTTGATCCGGGAGTGTTATGCTCCCTGGCATCCTAGCTCTCTTGATCCGGGAGTGTTGTGCTCCCTGGCATCCTAGCTCCCTTGATCCGGGAGTGTTATGCTCCCTGGCATCCTAGCTCCCTTGATCCGGGAGTGTTGTGCTCCCTGGCATCCTAGCTCCCTTGATCCGGGAGTGTTATGCTCCCTGGCATCCTAGCTCTCTTGATCCGGGAGTGTTGTGCTCCCTGGCATCCTAGCTCCCTTGATCCGGGAGTGTTATGCTCCCTGGCATCCTAGCTCCCTTGATCCGGGAGTGTTGTGCTCCCTGGCATCCTAACTCCCTTGATCCGGGAGTGTTGTGCTCCCTGGCATCCTAGCTCCCTTGATCCGGGAGTGTTGTGCTCCCTGGCATCCTAGCTCCCTTGATCAGGGAGCGTTGTGCTCCCTGGCATCCTAGCTCCCTTGATCCGGGAGTGTTGTGCTCCCTGGCATCCTAGCTCCCTTGATCCGGGAGTGTTGTGCTCCCTGGCATCCTAGCTCCCTTGATCCGGGAGTGTTGTGCTCCCTGGCATCCTAGCTCCCTTGATCCGGGAGTGTTGTGCTCCCTGGCATCCTAGCTCCCTTGATCCGAGAGTGTTATGCTCCCTGGCATCCTAGCTCCCTTGTTCCGGGAGTGTTATGCTCCTGGCATCTAGCTCCCTTGATCCGGAGTGTTGTGCTCCCTGGCATCCTAGCTCCCTTGATCCGGGAGTGTTGTGCTCCCTGGCATCCTAGCTCCCTTGATCCGGGAGTGTTGTGCTCCCTGGCATCCTAGCTCCCTTGATCCGGGAGTGTTATGCTCCCTGGCATCCTAGCCCCTTGATCCGGGAGTGTTGTGCTCCCTGGCATCCTAGCTCCCTTGATCCGGGAGTGTTGTGCTCCCTGGCATCCTAGCTCCCTTGATCCGGAAGTGTTATGCTCCCTGGCATCCTAGCTCCCTTGATCCGGGAGTGCTATGCTCCCTGGCATCCTAGCTCCCTTGATCCGGGAGTGTTGTGCTCCCTGGCATCCTAGCTCCCTTGATCCGGGAGTGTTGTGCTCCCTGGCATCCTAGCTCCCTTGATCCGGGAGTGTTGTGCTCCTGGCATCCTAGCTCCCTTGATCCGGGAGTGTTGTGCTCCCTGGCATCCTAGCTCCCTTGATCCGGGAGTGTTGTGCTCCCTGGTATCCTAGCTCCCTTGATCCGGGAGTGTTGTGCTCCCTGGCATCCTAGCTCCCTTGATCCGGGAGTGTTGTGCTCCCTGGCATCTAGCTCCCTTGATCCGGAGTGTTTGTGCTCCCTGGCATCCTAGCTCCCTTGATCCGGGAGTGTTGTGCTCCCTGGCATCCTAGCTCCCTTGATCCGGGAGTGTTGTGCTCCCTGGCTACTTTAACACCCATGATCCTGTAGTATTCTATTCTCTGGCTGCTGTAACACCCATGATCCTATAGTACTGTGCTCTCTGGCTACTGTAACACCCATGATCCTGTAGTACTGTGCTCTCTGGCTACTGTAACACCCTGATCCTGTAGTACTGTGCTCTCTGGCTACTGTAACACCCATGATCCTGTAGTACTTGTGCTCTCTGGCTACTGTAACACCATGATCCTGTAGTACTGTGCTCTCTGGCTACTGTAACACCCATGATCCTGTAGTATTCTATTCTCTGGCTACTGTAACACCCATGATCCTGTAGTACTGTGCTCTCTGGCTACTGTAACACCCATGATCCTGTAGTACTGTGCTCTCTGGCTACTGTAACACCCATGATCCTGTAGTACTGTGCTCTCTGGCTACTGTAACACCCATGATCCCGTAGTACTGTGCTCTCTGGCTACTGTAACACCCATGATCCTGTAGTATTCTATTCTCTGGCTACTGTAACACCCATGATCCTGTAGTACTGTGCTCTCTGGCTACTGTAACACCCATGATCCTGTAGTACTGTGCTCTCTGGCTACTGTAACACCCATGATCCTGTAGTACTGTGCTCTCTGGCTACTGTAACACCCATGATCCTGTAGTACTGTGCTCTCTGGCTACTGTAACACCCATGATCCTGTAGTATTCTATTCTCTGGCTACTGTAACACCCATGATCCTGTAGTACTGTGCTCTCTGCTACTGTAACACCCATGATCCTGTAGTACTGTGCTCTCTGGCTACTGTAACACCCATGATCCTGTAGTACTGTGCTCTCTGGCTACTGTAACACCCATGATCCCGTAGTACTGTGCTCTCTGGCTACTGTAACACCATGATCCTGTAGTATCTATTCTCTGGCTACTGTAAACACCCATGATCCTGTAGTACTGTGCTCTCTGGCTACTGTAACACCATGATCCTGTAGTACTGTGCTCTCTGGCTACTGTAACACCCATGATCCTGTAGTACTGTGCTCTCTGGCTACTGCCGCCATTGCAACCACACAATCTACAGCACAAATAACTCTAAACCATACCCCGGCGGGATTGAACCCGCGTCATAGAGTCATGAGACTCTATGACCGCGGGTTCAATCCGGCCGGGGGTTTTGGTTTTTGCAATCGTGTCATTACGATTTCTTAAGTCAAGTCAAATAACTCTATTATTATTACTGCAATCTTCAATACAGCACATGTGGACTGGGATGCAGTCAGCTTCCCCCGAGGAATATAGTTGAGTATAAATAGGAAGCAACATCTGTCTGGTGCTCAGCAGACAGAGGATCGAACCTTCACCATGTCTTGCGATGAATAACCCACACGGGTTCAGCGCTTAGCATGGATTATTTCAATTTTAATTTTTTTGGGGACCCAATGGAAGGTTAATATGAATCTGCAATTCAAGGACACCAGCGGCAATAAGTCAAGGAACTCAATGGAAATACCTCACTTTGACTTTTTTGGATTATCCTAGTTTGTAATTTACACTATGTATGATAATTACACTTATGTACCTGTACTTAAATAAACTTACTTAATGACTTACTTCTTCAGCAGCATAAAGGTAGAGACACATTAATAAATTAGAGTTCAGTAACCATCAGTAGAAGGGTAGTCGCTGCTTTCACTGGTCTTTCAGTTACACTGATATTTAAAATGCAAATCTCTGACTTTCTGTGAATGACCCGGATCTATGTTTCTTTGTTATGATTGTGGCATCCTGTAGGGAAAGAAAAAAACATTCACAGCTACGGCTCTTTGTAATAACGTGCGTATATAAACCAGAGCTATGAACCATACGTATCACTACAGCAGCTGATCCTCTAGACTCTTTCGTGTGCAACTTCCACCTTAGTCCCTCCAGCGATGCTGCCACATACAGAAAGTTTCTGAGAGGCTAAGCAATCACGAGTATAGCGACGCTACGAAGCCAGGACACACTGGGGGGCACTGCTAGTTAGACCGAGCTGGTTTTTCTCAAGAAGAAGCACTGGATCTTGGAATGGATGGTCGCCAAGTCTTGCTAGGAGACGAAGCGGTGATGCCATGGGGGTTGTCCATTCCGGCACAGGAGAATGGATCAATTTCCAGCAATGCTCAACTCGATGCTGCAGGAGCCACCTCTTCAACACCCACAAATAACCCATTGGCTTACACCGGTGGCTTGGAATACGTCTCCCAGAGCCCAGGAGGCTCTGAACCCAACGTCTCTTTCACAGCACAAAGACTCTGGGACTTCCCAACGACCAGCTCCCACTTCGAGGTTTCAACGATGATGGACTGGCACGGAGGGGATTCTGACTCGCTGTCAGTGAGCGACACTCTGGGCGACGTTACTGATGGAAGACAAATGACATCTCTAGAACCATTAAGTCTCATCCCTGAAGGCCATTACTCTCTCGGCGAAGACCAGTACACCCTTGTCGGAGACCAGTACTCTCTCGGCGAAGACCGGTACACCCTTGTCGGAGACCAGTACACCCTTAGCTACCCCACTGCTGCTTCTTATTCACAGAATACTGGTAACCAGTTCGCTGCGACAAGCTGGGATTCCTTGGCACCCGGTAACCCAGAGGCACAAACTCAATCACCTGGCACTCAACCACAAATAAGGAGGAAAACAACCAAATGGCACGAACTACCACCACAATCCGACCCCTCACTGGAGGCGAAGAGACAGAGAGCCATTAAGGGACGGAAGAACAGAGAGAGGATAAGGGTAAAGGAGAAAGAACTGACAGAAACGCTAAATAACGTGACGGAGGACGTACAGAAGTTGATCAGCCAGAGAGAGAGACTGCAGACCATGACCACTAACCTACAGTCACACTTAATAATGTACAGGACCAAGGGTACGTCTGCTGTACCTGCTGTACCTGCTCAGTCTGCTGACTATCTACCTCGCGACAGAAGAACGTAAAGCATTGTTACTGGATTATTATTATTATTATTATTATTATTATTATTATTATTATTATTATTATTATTATTATTATTTTGTACCATACTATGCTATCCTAACCATCTAATCAATTTATATTTCCATCATTCAAGATAGTTGGTTAATGGGGTTTAAAGTCTATCTACTACACGAGGGTCATTAAGGCTGCATGTCACCTGTACACCACCAGTCAAGAATACTTTAATACCTAAAATACTGATTAATGTAAACTACCAGTGTATATACACTGAGAAACATACACCTCTCAGTGTATATACACTGAGAAACATACACCTCTCAGTGTATATATGCCAGTAACCAACCAATACAATTAAGTTTTACTTGTATTATATATTAAAACCAGTCAAAAAAAGAGACCATAATTTTATGTAATCAAGAAAGACAAACAAAATCATTATTGGCAATAAAAAAAAAATAAATAACTTTTCCTTGAATAACCAGACCTGAACAAGTTATTTTAGTCAGTTATTTATACATTGTCTTGTCCAAAATAACAGTTGGTACGGCGAGATTTTTTACCACCAGAGTAAAAAACTGAGAATATTTTGAAATTTGAAAAATATTAAGTACACTGTTAGCCACTAGACTATAATAATAATAATAATAATAATAATAATAATAATAATAATAATAATAATAATAATAATAATAATTATTATTATTATTATTATTATAGTAATAATAATAATAATAATAATATAATAATAATAATAATAATTATAATAATAATAATAATAATTATAATAATAATAATTATAATAATAATAATAATAATAATAATTATAATAATAATAATAATTATAATAATAATAATAACAATAATAATAATAATAATAATAATAATAATAATAATAATAATAATTATTATTATTATTATTATAATAATTATAATAATAATAATAATAATAATTATAATAATAATAATAATAATAATAATAATTATAATAATAATAATAAAAATAATGATAATAATAATAATAATAATAATAATAATTATAATAATAATAATAATAATAATAAAAATTATAATAATAATAATAATAATAAATAATAATTATTAAAATAATAATAATAATAATAATAATAATAATAATAATAATTATAATAATAATAATAATAATAATAATAATAATAATCATAATAATAATAATAATAATAATATAATAATAATTATAATAATAATAATAATAATAATAATTATAATAATAATAATAATAATAATAATAATAATCATAATAATAATAATAATAATAATAATAATAATAATTATAATAATAATAATAATAATAATAATAATAATAATAATAATAATAATAATAATAATAATTTTATTTACTACCAGTACATGATACAACTTATACAGA